AAAAAATAAAATGCAAGATAATAGGCCGTACTGAGTTCTTTCAAATTAATGCCGTTTTATACACATGAGAACCAAAATCCGGTTTACTTTTGTTGTTACACTGGTAACAGCTTATAAATAATGGCCGTTTTAACGGAAATCAAAAGCTAGTCCCAAAATTATGATAAAAAAGTGACCGCTTTGAGATATTTTTGCGATGCATTCATCAAAAAAGGCGTTGTATGCATTTTTATCCGAAACAAATGATCGCTCTTCGATAAAACGATTGAACGACTGCGTCTCACTGAAGCGTTTGAAAAATTCGAAAGACGACCTGGAATATAATCAATCTAACGAATCACTCAACCACCTCGCTTCTGGACAGAATCTTATATATGTTTGCAAAATCTGTATTAAGACAGAAGAGAGAGAAAATACTTACTTGTCACGCGAACGAAGGAAAGCATCCAGATCGAAAAGTGACCCAGTATCCGTGGCCCCAACACATCGAGGAGCACAGCGAATTGGCCTGAGATACGTAGTGTATCCATGCATTAGTGAAGCCATAAATCTGAAAATCCACTGACTATATTTTATCCAACAACCCAAACAACAGCTTGAAATTTCGGTGTGCTCAAACATCGGCAGTTCAGGAGGAGACTACTGGATTTATTCTCTGGCAACTGCTAAACACGCGGACACTCTCTGCGACTTCGTTGTCTGGCTGAATGCCAAATGATATTCAAAATAACGCACCCACAGAAGAATGTGTGTGACTGAAATTCCAGTAGAATATCAACTAAATCACAGAAAAATCTAGCAAAAAGCTGATGGGATGCGACTTAAATATGTACGACTGCCAGAAAAAGCAAATAATGTTACCTGAGAAATGCATCCTGGACACTGCTTTCCAGCATCCTCTTTTTACAATGTATATCGTAATCGATGTCCAGAGGCATGAATTCCATATTTTTGCGTAGTGCAATAACGCTGAATTCTTCCTGATACAATCGCCGATGAAGTTTCTCAAGAGTGTTTTTGAGCTGTCGAGCAGCCTTCTAAATCAGACTCAAGTAAACGTAACGGAACAAATTTCTCATTATCCATCTCCCCTTCCGTGACTCAGTGCCAAATGAACAAATAAGTTATTGAACAAATGACACATTCGAATTGATGAGAACGTCACAGTCCAGAATGTAACTTCCATTCTGTACTGCGAAGATTCCATTTCATCTCCACAGTGGTACGTACTTCCGGACCAGCTATTTTTGGCATTGTTTTTAAATACCATTGCATATTAGATTAACCAGTCTATTGCCAGAACCGAACCAGTTCTCCGAGAAAAAGGAGGATAAGCAAACACAGAAAAAAATCATTGGTGACGCGCACTGGGCGGGTCCGTGCGATCATGCGTTTTTGCTGTGTTTCGTGATGTAATAAAATCACTCGAAATTCCGCTAGCTAGAACCTCTGATATCCTTGTTCTCGAATTTCGGGAAGTTAATTGTCCACGCTATACTTGGACAGGGAACATTTCCTTGAAATCCCAGGTTCCCGGCTTTCCCAGTTCCCGAGTTACCCAAATTTCAGCCAGAAAATTTCTCGGGGCCGTACGTGGCAACTATGCATAACGGGGGGCTGGATTTGATAAATTTAAGCTGTAGATGAGTTGGGAATATTTCCTGAAAGTTTCAGCCTTCCACCTTCTCCGATTCCGGAGTTATCCATTTTTCCGCCAAAAAAATCCACGGGACCGCACATGGCAACCACGCATAACAGGGGGCTGAATTTGATAAATTTAAGTTGTAGATGAACTGGGAACATTTACTGAAAGTTTCAACCCTCCCCCCAGCTTTCTTGTTTCCCGAGCTAGCGATTTTCGCGCCAAGAACCCTCACGGGGCCGGACGCGAGAAATGCGCACACCTGGGAGCTGAATTTAAAATCTTTGAGTTCTATACGGGCGGGGAGCATAATCCCAAAACTCCAGCTTCCCAGCTTTTCTGGTTCCCAAGTTAGCGATTTTCCCGTCAAAACTCTGAGGCGCTCGTACGCGAGGCCTGGACGCGCGTGGGGATTGGTACCGCGGTCCTGAGGTGGCACTTGGCCTGGGAACCCACTCGCAAAATTTTAGCGCCGGAGCTCGCTTGGGTGCCGAATTGAAATACCCGGACATACACACACACACACACACATACATATACACACACACATACATATACACACACACACACACATACACATACACACACCCACACACACACCGGAGTCGTCACAATTGCATATATGCAGAAACGCACAAAAATGAGCAATTCTTTTCCACTGGTCATTTTCCACCTCTCCAACTCCAACCAAACA